GGGGGGATACGTTTTTTTTCGATCTTCTTGGCAGTTATGAGGCTGTTCGACGATGCTACAGAGGTTTCGAAAAATTGTAAACAGATGTGTAAACACTAAGATTTGCCGCCTCTCTTGGGAAACCCCTGCAGAGAAAGTGGTGTTCACCTACCAGAGTTTTTGGTGTAATGGATAGTTTTTTCGCCGCTGCACGCAGAAGACTTTTAATCGATGCCTGCAGGGGTAGTCAATTATTTTTATGGAGTATCTTCTTCTGTCTGCTGGCATGCTGCCCTACATTCAGTAAGTGTTGGCCCTGACAAACAAAGTAGAAGCAGCCTGCGTCCCAAAGTATCTACACGAAGTCGAACTTCTTTTTTTTAGTACAGGTGTTTTTATACTCTCTGGGCATAGTTCAGATCTGATGGGAGGTAGGCTTCTGATCCTATATAATATCAGGGCCAATCCGGACTGAGAGAGATACAACATACCAGCGGAAAGAACGAGATCCTCGTAAATAATGTACCCATTCTCGGGAATCGAACTCGGTTTGTTGCTTTCGACACCGGAGCGCCTAACCGCTACTCAACTGACGGCGAAGAGGTATAAAACTTAAAACGTTTTACAACTATTTGTAAATAAATGGAGAAATCGTATAGATTTAACTCCATTGTCAACGCTGTTTGGTTATTTAAAAGGCGGTTTAACGTCCCACTCCGAAAGGACCGGGCCAAGTGGGAAATTCGTGTGAAGTGCCTTTCCCAAGAACACAAGGTCGGACCGAGCTGATGCTCAAACCCCGGAACCCGCAAACTCACGATTACGAGTTCGGTAGCCTAACCACTAGGCTATAGACGCCACTACTATAATTTGTAGGGCAGGCCGTGTGTGTGTGGAAAGGGGGGGGGGACGTTTATAACCGGTCTATGTCTGTCCCCAAGGTTTTATGCACCCTGCATAATTTAGCAAAATTTGATCCTGTTTATTTTCCATTGTCATTCTTTGTTAAAATTAACAGAATCGCATAATTTCACATTTTTGGGCTCAGTTTGCTTAATTAATTTCAGAAATTTGGGGAGGGGGGCATAAAACCGCGGGGACAGGCCAATGCTCACAGAATCTCTTTTGTATCCATCCATCTATCTATCTATCTATCTAGCAGTTTATCTATCTGTCTGTCTATCCATCTATCTTTATATCTATCTATCTATCTATCTATCTATCTATGTATCTATCTATCTATCTCTCTCACACACACACACACACACACACACACACACACACACACACACACACACACACACACACGTTTGTTTTGTTGTTTTTGTTTTTGTTTTTGTTTTGTTTTGGGCGGGGTCAGATCAGTAGAAAAAATATGTTAGTCTTTGAATACTGATTTCGTCTGAGGAAATAAAAGCTTAAGTTTATGAAAATATTGTTTCAGTCTGTGAAAACAAGTTCATTTGAGTTTATGAAAATAGTGTTTAGCTGTGATAAAATGTTTACTTTAGTTGGTAAATATTGTGTTTTGGTTCGTGAAAATAATGCTTCACATAATGAGAAAAAAAAGCTACAACGAGGCCAAATTTTGTGATAATGAAGCTTCCAATCTATAGGTCGTCGTTAAGCCACAGTTGCCCACGGTTAGAAAAATCCTGCTCACCCAGTTCTCAATATTTTGATTTGAAATTTTGCAAAATAAAGTGAAATAACCTGGACGTTACGAAAACTATTTTTCTAAAATCGTAGTTTGTTTACCCCAAAAGATAGCTTATTTGGGCTTGGTATTTATCTCGAGCCCCAGTGGAAACAAAAAATCATGTATTTACAGCACGCTGACATGCTGGTCATTTTTTACCACTTTTTCGACACAGACAAGTCCGGTGTTATTGACGAACTGAAAACAGCTCACTCACAAATCTCTTGAAAACACACTGTCATAATAATCTAAAGGCGTGTACTCTGTTGAAACATACAAGAGGGGCCTGGGTGAGACGACATAAAAGAATGGCTTTGTACCAACAGCATTGAGTTCCAAGAGCACGCTTTAAAACCAGAACTTTTGCAAATAGCCAAAAGTCTAAATCGACCCAAGATCTATACAATTGATAAAGTCATAGCTTTTCATGGACACACGAGCCTGAGACTTCCACCGTACCATTCCCATTTAAACCCTATTGAGTTGGTTTGGCCAAGGATTAAACACGATGTCGCTGACAAAAATATGACTTTCAAAATAGCAGACATCATAAGACATTGACGACGAATGCTCTATTTGACGTAGACAGACACTACTGGAAGAAATGTATTGAACACGTCATGGCAGAAGAGAACAATTATTGGAAAACTGACGGGCATGGATTTATTCAAAAAAAGATGGTTATCAATCCCTTTGGGTCCGATTGTGAGGTCGATCAATGACTACTCTCCTTTTCAGGTG